TCACAAGAAACTCACAGCTCTACAAACTCCGTTCAGATCCTCTCACACCAAAATCACAGAAAAATCACACCTACCGCTCACACAAAACTCATGCCCCGAAATCTCTCTCACCCAACTCACACATACCTCTCTCACTGCCTCTCTCAGCTAACTCACAGAATTAATTTATTTACCTTGTTTCAGAGGTTCCAAGACCTGCCACTCATAAATCTAAATTTATATTTAAAATATAGAAACCAATATCAAAATTCAATATAAATCTAAATATTCAATCTAAATTTATATTCTCTCGAAATTTTTAAATTCATTCAACCTTCTAATTAAGAAGAAAAATATTGAGATTTGTAAAATAATAAAGAAAAATCATAAAAGAAAAGAATAAAAATGATTTTTATTTTTTCTATATGATAATTCATATGAGTTTTATTATCATATTATATTCAATAAAATCGAGATTATGAAATCTATATGAGAAAATATATATATATATTATTCATATGATTTGAATTTCGAATATTATAAGAATAAGTAAAAATATTTATAATTTTTCTATATAGAAAATTTCTTTTTAATAGGTCCATTCTTATGAATTATATAGATAGATATCATATTTCAAATTTTAATATAATTATTCTATATATAGATAAGATTTAAATATATAAATGAATATATAGGTGAATAAATATATAATGTAGCTATCTATTTTATTCACAATAGTCCGGAGTTATCCGTGGCAGGCGTAAGGGATCCTTCTTCCCCTTGCAATGTAGTTGTGGGGTTTTGTAGTTTGGAGTTTGATCTCGAGTCGGTAAGAGCTTAGGGAGGGTTTGGAGTGTAAGTTGGTTCGGTTGAGGTTTCAAATTTAGAGCCTGTAAAAAGGCGGGGTTTATGGTGAGGTATAAGATTTGAAGTTTCTAGTATAGGTTAAAGTTGATAAAATCAGGAATATGCCCTTTATTAGAGGATGCATGGTTTGTGTAGGGATTACGTAAGATCCCGGCCCGTTGGCCGCCCCCCAGCAGCTCCCACGCCAGCCCCCCCCCCATCCCCCCCCCACACCCCCACCAAACCATGCCATGCAGGGGGAGGCTGGGCGCCAGACGCCTGACCATGGTACGTTCGAACATGCATATGTAATCTGTTATGTATGCATGCATGCATGCATTTGTTGAAGTCGGAAAAGTAGTTTTGTCGCGCTTACCTTGAGGATGGATGTAGAGACAGAGCAGAGAAAAGTCTTCTGGCAACCTTGCGCGCATGGCATGCGCCTCACTCGTCGTCCTCCTCCTCCTCATCGTCCTCAACTTCGACGGCCTCCTCTTCTTCCTCTCAAACGCGATCCCTGTCAGACTCATGATTCAACCTCCCGCCACCTGCTATCTCGATATTGCACGGAATGGATCTGCGCAGTACAGGTTTCAGTCCTCGCCCTCCACGTCTTCGTAGGTGTACTCCGACCTGTGTTCTTCTTTGCGTATGCTTGCTTGCTGTCCGTTTCTGTTTATTCTCTTGGCTTTCCAGCTGCAGTTGCATCTGTCTTTGTGTTTTTGCGGTGCTTCTGGGTGCAAGCCGATAGCAGGATTGTAAACAGGTGGTTTCATAAGTCGCTGCAGGCATGCTACCAGGCTATGAAAGCAAGTTGCTCTAGGTACTTCCTTCGTTAGTAACAAGGGCGAAGCGCTCCTCAAGCTCTGAAAACATCTGCATCATGCTTCCCACCCTGGCGCAGCGAGTACCCTCAGAAAGGAATTGGGCTCCAACTCCAGCACACGAGACAAGACTTTGTGCCATGGTCAGGCAGGCTGCGGGCCAGACAGGCTGCAAACAGAATAGTGCGTACAAGACCACTGCTGCGAAGATGAGGCCAGGACGCTTCTGTGTATGTATACTCCGATCTGAGCGGCAGCTTCTGCAATGCGCGGACATGCACCACTGATTGAGCTGGCTTAGCACGCCTCCGACAGAAAAGCCCGCATCACAACTTGTTTCCTTCTTCACGAAACAAGATCAGCTTCGGCTTCCCACAAATTCAAGGCCAAGCTCGATTCCGGCTGCGAGACACCTTCCTGGAATGTTTCACCATGCTACTGGACCCGGTTCGAGGGTCGGGCTCGTTTCCGTCACCCACAGCTTTCGCAGTGGCCGTTGCCGTCGCCTACAGGGAAACTGCACTCTGCCGAAGAACTTCGAACACTTTGCTGAAGTGCTCGCATTGCTCAATCTCGCACTTGCTCGAGAATCCCTGTGCCGCACGATTTGATTTCGTCGGAAACACGAGGCAGCGACCACGTGCGCACCAAATCGCTGGCCATGCCCAGCTGGATAGCGTCAAGGCACCGAGAGGGTAGACCGGACGTTGCATTAAGTAGTCCACGGGTATGCCCGTGACTGGATAGTTCATCATTTCTGCTTTGATTTTCCTGACACACCCCGGCCTTTTGTCCTTCCCCTGCGTGAGGAAAAAGCTTAGCGCGTGCAAGATATACATTATGCTGGCATGTGGTTGCCACTTTCTTGCAATGGATGCTCTGTGCGACATGCCAGCTTCTTGAAAGAAGCATGGTAACCGGAGTCAAACACTTCGTGGCACAGTCACACGTCTGGTCTGACCACCAGCTATGCCTTGTCCAGGTGCTGTTGGACTTGGGCCTGTTGCGCTTGACGCTTTCTTGACACAGTGTGCCCGACGATGTCTAGATGGTAGCTGTAGTTCTTGTCCTGCAAGGCACTTCTCAGCACACAGTGATTATCCTTATCTTTTGTGTAGCGGAAACTATTGCACCTCAATTCTGCATGGTGCACAAAGAAGCCTCTGAAAGCAATGTGGAAGTGCGGAAGCAAGACGATGCGTCCAAGTATATGCGTCGCAGGCCTTTGCGGCTGCAGGCGCAGTTTTGGATGCCTGGGCATGAAATGCACATGTAGATGAAGACGCGGCCTTCAAGAACAAGATCCACGAGCGGCTGTTGCTGCACTTTGCTGCCGAGTCACACCCGGAGGCTTTGTGGACGCTTTCGGCCTGCCCGGGATCAGCCGTCGCCCAAGACTGCAAATAAATCACTTGCATCTGCTCTCTGAGTGCAGTTGAGGACACAGGGCTATTCTTCTGAGAGCTGAAAACTGTCTGCAACAATGCCCAGTTGCTGCCAGTGCTTACTCATCTGTAGAGCAGATAAGCACCATGGAAACACCATGCTTGCGCAAGAGCAACAAATCGCTGCTCAGTATAGCTAGTGAGCTAGTGACGTGGGCCCTGGAAAGAAGCTCGCATTCGTCGTCCTGGAAGTTCCCATCGCTGGCACAGGTTGCGTCTGCGGTGCGTTCTGCTGCGGTCGCCTGGCAGCAACCGGACAGACTCCAACTTTAGCATGTATATAAGCCGTAGCAGCTTGGCATCACTAACGCATGCGCATGCATGCGCATGCTCAATATTACTCAATATGCTTATGACAGAGATCAGCTGTTTCCATCCATGATGCAAGGTGGCCCGTGGCTCGTCTTTCTTGCGGGACGAAACATAATCACTCCTAGGTCCCAGTCTTGTTTTCGGCAAGTTGACATCTTCGAAAAGAGCTATGCGATTGACGCTGGCGCGATGTTCTTGAAATCAGCCGTGCACTGCAGAAAAAGAAAACGGAAGGGGACGGGGGGTTCGGGGGCGGCAGCCCCCCCGTTTGCGAACCCCATGTATGTCTGTATCACAGGTTCTGAAAGGGTCCGTATGGGCTCGGTTTGCTGGCAGGCTGATGTTTGAAGCGAGCTTGCGCGGCTCAACACAAGTGGAGGGGGGAGGCTCCCCCCATTTGCAGACAGAATGGCCGATGGACTTGAATTCCTTGAAAGCTTTTACAAGAGTGGCGTGGTTGACGCAATTCTTCTTGAATGCGCGATGTTCTTGAAAGGAAACCATGCATGGCATTAAAAAAAACATTTGTTTGTTCCTTGCTTCTCCTCGGTCCTTCTCTCGTTGTCGCTTTGTTTGTCCTCATGTCTTTATGTCGTTCGTTTTTCTTGATGTCTTTGATTGCCTTGTCTCTCTCTCTGTCTCTTTCTCTCGTTCTTCGTTTCCTTGTCAGTCGTTCTTAGAGTCGTTCCTCCTCGATCATAACAACAGAAGGACGAAATCAGAAGGTAAAGTAGGTGCCACCTCTGATGCTCGGACTACAGACATCCCGCCTCCATTCAAAATACGGCGCAACGGCACGTGACGGTACACAAGACCCGATTGTGAGAGCCTGCCACCAGCTTAGCACCGACGCTGCTCGACCTTTGCATTTACTCCCGTCTCCGCTTGTTCTGCTTTTGCTCGGCCCAGTGCTCCTCGTCTCGGAGTTCCATGGCTGAAAGCTTCTGTCATGTGCTGTGCAGAGGCACGTACTGGCAAGGATCATCCATGTTGAAACTTCCTGTTGGAGACCGAGAAGTTTTTCGAAACGTGCACTAGCAGACGCTCCTTCAGTGGAAAGCTGGAGTTTCGGACACGGTTGTGCTCGGCAAAATCACGTATGCATTCAAGCGCCGACAATCTTTGACGAGTCCTTCAGACACTGGGACACTAGAATACACTAGAACACAAGCAAACATGGATCCCGAAATGCCGTCCGATCCGCTGCGCCTTGGAGCCGCCTTTGCCCGGGTGGCCACGAGGGGTGGGAGAGCCTCCCAGTTCTCTTGAGTTCATCAATGCCGAAGGGATGCTTTTCCCAGTCTACAGTGGCGAGTCGCCCGATTCACAGAATGGACATGTAGCACACACAAGTCTGGGCCAGAATTGCGTATCACTCAATCACCAGAAGCTCCCAGGAGGACAGAAAGCTGACTTCGCAGAGCAGCACATCCCTACTACAATGCTACAACGAAAACTGGTGCCAACAGGTAGAGAGCCTGTTGCTGCTTGTTGGCATCATTAGGCTCCTGCTTGGTTGCAACCACCTGGCACGACAGTCCATGATGCTACGCGGCATGCACACGTGTCGAAAGACCGGAGAACGAGTTGCAGGAACCGCACAATCCGTAAGCCCTGATCCCGAGACCCTAAACCTCCAGCCAAGGGAGGCTCCGAAGGGACCGGAATGCACACCATCTCTCCAACACCCTTCAAGAGCCTAACCAACCCGACAAGACCATCTATAAAATTCTATAAAAAGTCTGCACCATGTATCAAGACAAGACAGACCCATATCTCGGAAAGTCTTGAAGCCGCAAGTACATCCACACGAACAGCCACAGGCTGCGGCAGCCTTTTTTGACTCCGGCGCTTTGGCTGCCTGCGAAGCACGGGGTAATCTCTGCTCACAACAGCAACCGCCACCACCACCACCACCACCACCACCACCACCACCACCAACACTAACACCACCACCACCACCACCACCACCACCACCACCACCACCGTTATCATCGGCCTTCTTAGTACAAACAGGAAGAAACAGATTTAACTTTTGTAGCCATCGCAACCTCGAAAACCAAAAGCACTAGCATGGCTTGCTATAACTGCCAGCTGCAAAAACCAAACTTTGGCGCGAAAAGTACTGGTAATAAACGTGATATCAGCCATGGCAGTCAGTCTAATGGGTACACAAGAGTAAGAACCGAGGTGTCGCACGAAGTACATTTAGATAAGTACATAACGTGATCAAGAGCAAATATGTTGAATATTGGTAGCAATAACTGCGGTGATAGTGTAACAGTGTAGCACAAGCCTCATGATCAAAAACCACACATTGCATCATCAATAGTCATAGCTGCCATATTCGAACTATCACCAACAACAATACTAGGATTAGCCTTCATTGCTGAAGGAACGGTGAAACTCATGTTGCTGTCATGCTATACGATTCAAGATCATATGGGTACTCGTGACTTCCTCAATCCCCACACACGCCTCGCGTCGGCCGCGTCCTCGGGTTCCTGTCAGAAGCACTGGATGTCTGCACCATAGTACTGTACTCAGTGCCGACGCCCTCCTTGCATCTTCTCCATGAGCTTCTCGGTGCGCTCCTCGGTAGGGACCCGCCACGAATCCCCGAAACTCCGGGGACCGCGACCCGTGGTGAAACTCCGCGTGTGCCAGCTCTGCCACGAATAGTGAATGTGCATGCATCAGGACATGGGCCGACACCGAGGTGGAGTTTCATAGAAGCGTGCGAGGCCTTATGGCCACTACAAGATCCTTCCGAGTCAACTGCACATCGATTGAATGGTACGGGCCTTTACAGACCCCATAGGTCTACTTCGTGTGACGACTAGACTGCGGGCAGAAATGTTCATTTCTGCACAGACTGCTGCTCCCATGACCCTCATGCTCAAGTCTGAGCGAGGTGCGCCGGCTGCCAAGCGATTTGAAGCTGCAGATCCCCTTGAATGCAAATTCAGCGTAGCAGGGCATCTGTGACGATGTCTCGAACACACATTCCAGAATTTCGAGCAAGGAAACTCTCAAAAAGGAGCGCTGTCCATTTGTTCCATGCCCAGCCGACCTGCGCCGCGGCCTTTCGCGCTCCCCGCGCTCTCCCCGACGGCGCTGCAAGCGGGAGGCGTCCTCCTGTGGCAGGGAACCATGATGATATATCATGTTGCGCTACATAACTAGATATTATCATGTTATACTAGCTATAACAGATTATATCGGATTAGATTATACTATATTCTCAGCACATGCCGGAGACTAGCTTGAAAAGAGACTCGGCGGACGAGGCGCTGAGCCCGGCGCGTTTCCCCGTCGATGCTCATGACGGCTGCGGCTCCTTCGGGTCAAAGTCAAACTAGCTGATTGCACGATACTGCCCGGTAAATATGTCATTCGGATTAGGACGACCGGGATTGGGAGGAAGATGTGTCCTGCTAAGCATTTTCAAGGTGATGCGGAGCATGCCAGCCTGCGGCGCGTTGCTCGGCGTGAGCGGTCACGGTCCTCCCGCCTAGCATTCTCACGCCTGTGCAGACGGTGTGAAGATGCCGAATACTGATACCGTCAGAAACTCTTGAGCTTGACCAACACTCATCAAGATTGAGTGACATGCTGATAGTTGCAGACACAGATGTACAAAAGCGCAAGCACAAGACATGAGGTGACGGTCTGCTCCTCATGAAGCGGATCTTCCCTTACAGGCTGAGATGCTGCTTGGTGATTAGTATCTGTTGCTCCGCACTGTCACAGAAGCACGTTAAGAGACAGCTGTGCCTCCGCCTATCACCGCGATCTCTTTCGCCACGCCTAGCTGCACAGACTGGTTTTGTCGACTTCACTCGCGCAACGTTTAGAAATCTAAGGAAGGTGAGAACCGGGCAATGGACAAAGAAGGTCTCAACCCAAAACAAGAAACAGTACCCAGCCAAGTTCTGGGATACCTGCCTTCGATCGGCCTCCTCGCGACGAGTGGCACCTCCATTCTACATCATTCGATGGGTCACGTGACATGAGACACGTCCCTCGGTGACAGGGCACATTACTCCCTTATGTCTGTCGCTTCTGATTTGCATGACCGTGCATTGCCTTCGTGTCGGCGGCGCCTCGGTGCAAAGCACCAGCTCTTGTCTTTGGTATGCTTTCTTCTTCATTGGTCCAAATATTGAATGCCAACCACTTTTCGACCACAGGCTGAGTCGACTACGGCGATCTGCGCATCTCTCGGTCCCTTCCGGCCTGACCGAGGTTGTGCGTATGAAAAGCTGGACCACTCAGCATACGTGCCTGTGTGTGTGGGGTTCCTCCAAGACCATGTCCATTCAGCCAGTACTACATGGGAAGTTTGGAGCCACGGATGATAGTTTGACAGCTGCAAGCATGACGGCAGAATCCAAATTCGCGTACCGCTTAGAGCGCTCGAATCGCGCCGATGCTCTGCCAGCCGCGAACGTCCGTTCCAGACCCTTTTGAGGATCTTGCCCCGCGACCATCAGCTTCACGCCTGCCGACTAGGATGGGTTGTGATAGTCACATGTCAAGCATATGGAGCATTCTGTCCAAGTATTGTGGTCAGAAAAAGAAAAGCTTGGATGAATCATCCCGGTATCGCAAGGTGTCATGGGAAGTCAGCATGGAAATCTTCTGAGAGCTTCATGCTAGCAGCTGCCCTCCACCGCCTCTCGCGCCGCGGCGAGGCATGGTGCCGAGCTGCAGAGAGAACGGGACGTGGTTGCGGGGCTCAACAAAAAGCGAGACTGCAAAATGCAAGTGTTCAAACACGCATCACTCTGCAGACAAGGCTGGTGGTTGAGCTACTTGGGAAAACTTCGGCAGCTGCCTGGACGCTCGTCGCGCCGATCCAAACGATCCGCGTGCATGCCACGGGGCTCTGGAGGACGCCTGCACCGGGGCAGTAGAAGAATTTCGTAGAACAAACGGTTCACCCGTCCAGCACCGGACATGTCAAGGAAGGCTGGCAACTGCACAACAATTTCTGCACTACCGGCACGCCTGCTGCTGTAGTGATCATCCTGCAACTGGTTCACTGCACACGTTCACAATGCGCATGTACCAAAATTCGTGCAGATTAGCGGAACACCGAAGTATTGCTGCAAGCTGAGATCCAGCACAGAAAGCGTCCTCTTCTCGCTCCTGGCCTCGCACGATCCAGAACTGCAGACATTCAAACTCGAGTCGAGCGTGCAGGAGCGAATTGTGCTGTGCGAACGACCTCGCCGCTTGGGCTCTGCGACTTCTTCCTCCTCGTCCTCCATGTCCTCCTCCTGTGCACTTCAGCTGATCTAGCAGATGTTCGACGCAGTCTACAGAACACTCAAACACTAGCTCATGATGAAAGCCTGCGGAATCTACTTTGCAACTGGTTAGAGAGGCCACCGAGGTGGTGAAGGGCAGCAGTGGTTGTTTCTAGGATCCTAGGGGCCGCAACAGTTTGCAGGTGCCTCCTCAGCTTCCTTTTCAGCTTCGCTGGCCTTAGTTGAATCTGGCATCCTTTCTGAAAGCCTGGCTGAAATCAACCTGCCTCTTCTGCCTCGTCAACATCCTCCTCATCGACATCCTGCACTGAACACATGCAAGATGCCCCGCATGAATCTGGCGGCATGTCTGCTGGGAGCCTTGTCTTCATCCTCGTCGTCAAAATCATCCTTCACATCTACGCATTTTGCACTCAATGTCTCAGTGAGTGAAGAATGCTTCTACAGGCACGCATGTGGAAAATCGACGTCCGACAGTGCATCCAACATACCAACCAATTTGCCTCCTTCTTGACGGGCCCTCTCGGAGCTTCCTTCAACAGTACCTGGATAGCACCAGCCAGCATCAGCTTCCAGTTGGCATCGGAGGTACTCTCTGGCCAAGAGTGTCTGCCCGTAGTTCAACAACTTCCCAGCTCTGTCAGGCAAGCTGGGGAGACTTTGCATGGGATCCTGCGGTTCTAAGAGCAAGCAGAACGCCTTGGCTTTTCGTCGCTCGCCCGCAAGCACCTCAAAGGTGGTGGCATGGGCAGCTGTCGGCTCAAATGTTTGCAGAAAACGCTGGCAAGCTTTGTGCAGCACGCCCAGCTGGCTCAACGTGCGGCTTGCCACCTCATTTGGAAAGCACTCTCTGAATCCGTTTTCATGGCCATCTTGGTTGTCTACAGTCTACACCAGCAGTCGCTGCACTCTCTTGCTTTGCGAGCATCAAACTGGGCCATGGGCATTGTTCGGTACTCGAGGCGGTCGACTCGGCTTGGACGGTTCATTCTCCGGCCTTCCACAGCTGCAAAGTGGTTTGGCTCACACAGAGAAGTCTTCCTGTTGGGCTTGCCTGGCTCCGTCGTCGTCGTCCTTCTTCGCAACGATGGCACCCTAGGCAGGAGCACAATGACAGTGGGAAGACAGATTCTCGAACTTTCAGCAAATTGAACATGAAGCCGGCTCAGCAGACCCTGCGCCGTCCTTGCACAAGGCAGGACTAATTTGATCTTTCCGTGCTCGCCGAGCTCGTGACCATCGCGCGCATAAAGATGCCACCAGACATCTGATCACCGAAGCCAGGTCATGTCATCTGCTACTGGCTAGAGCATACTTCTTACGAGGAATGCCCACGATGCAGAGAAAGGACTTAAATGATGATGTGGAGGCATGCCCAAGTCTTTTGTCAAGCCGCTGTTCCAAAGGCTTCTGACCTTAAACACCTCTGCAGATCTCAGGTTTGAGAAGCAAAAGCGTTTGCTACCTACCTTCCCACGGGGTGCACTTCCCCTCAGCTTTCCGTCGAAAGCCTTCACATTCATGAGATGCCCGACGATTCGAGTGAAGATTTCAACGCCAAGCGCATGTGCTTCTCCATCTTCTGCTGTACAAACTGCTGCTTGAACTGCGCAAGCGCGCTTGTGTCCAAGCTTTGCCTTGCCTCCAAGGCATCACGCAAAAGATCTTCGGCCGCGGCATCTGCCGTGTGAGCCTGTCCGTTGAGCATCACGCAGAGCTGCTCGGGACTGCGCTTCTGCAGGATCTCGTCGCGTTGCGCTGACAGTGCCTCCACAGAGGCCTTCGTCGCAGAGAGTGCCTGCGAAACGCTGGCATAGTCTTGTGAAGTTGCCTGCATCCCTGTCTCCTGGTTCAGGATGGACTGAGCTGTGGATCGATTCTCCATCCGGGCTGTCTCCAGCTGTTTCAGGAGAGCCTTGACGTCAGTCTGTTCCAGGATCAAGTCATCGAGAGCTGGCTTGTTGGCGCGGAGATTCTGCAACTCAGAAAGGCTGTAGTTGTCTAGTTCAGAGAAGGTAGATGGTACTGCAGGTAATCGAGATTCAGGAGGGGGCGGAGGTTGAGGCGATGTCTTTGGCAGGACTGCCACGACCTCTGCTTTCACTGGGGCAGGGGTACTGGCTGCTGGTGTAGACGAAGACCACCACGGCATGGCGCTGCTCCAAAAGAGCCTTAGTCAGAGCCGGTGCTTGTTGGCTCTCTTCTATGTGCGGGCTTGAACCAGTCAAGCCGATGCCAGCAGCTGCTCACAGCACATGCCGATCCATTCTGTGAAGGACAACCCGTCGGCAAGACATGGCAGGACTGTCATGACAACTGTGACTGACAGCTTTACAGCATATCATGACCGACCATGATCACGGCATATCACAGCATCTGAAGATGCACCATGATTAAGCAAGGTGCTGCAAGGTGCACACCAACCCCGCCTTAACACCCGAAGGACGCGGCTCGCCGGTCCCATCCCAGTCCTCCTCCTCCGTGCGCCTCGAAACGGTCAAACCACGAAGCGTTCCGAACTTCGTCGTCCTCATGTCGCTTTCCTTTCATCCAGCTATCTCAAATGGAATAAAGAAGGTGCCTTCGCCGCCAAAGCCACTGAAGGACTGAAAGATGACATATGGAAGGACGGCTGTCAAGGGCTTTTACTAGATGCTCGAAACAGCTGCTGAAGATGCTGGCGTGCACAGACACAGACACCCGTCTCATTGCCCAAGGTGCCGACCACTTTTTTTTGGCCGGCTCTTCCCATTCTGGAACCTTCCGGAAGGCCTGCAAAGATACTAAGCGCAACCACTGTCACAGGCCATCCCTGAACCCTTAAAATCTCAATACGCGAACAAGTACATCTCTTCCAGTTCTGGGCCTCAGGGCAACCATCGAACCAATCATCACGACCTTCGCGCCAGTCTGTGTCCTGGAAGCCGCCATACTAGCCGGCATCATTACTCCCTGTCTTCACGCTGGCCATCGTCGATCTCTGTTTCAAGCTTGTGCCACTGAAGGGCCCCTAGGCCCTAGAAGGGCGGTCCTTCCAGGGGTCCGTGTCTTCCACGGGCTCCGGAGGCGGCGCCCATTTCCGCTTTCGGGGGCCATCGTTGTTCGCCTGCCCGAACTCCTCAGTTCAAGGCGCAAAGAGCTGTGGTGACAGCGGTGAGACTCACTTGGACGCCGGCATCTCGCTGAAAATGAAAGTGCGGAAGGTGAACCTTTCCATGTCCAACCAGACTACTGAAGGCTTGCATCATCAGCAGTACCCCTTGGTTCTTGCAGTATCTTCAGGCAGGACATGGTTGCTGCCGACTGCAAGCACCAGCGTGTGAGACTCACTTGTACTCTTTTCATCAACGAGCTGTTCGGCTCAAAGCTTGTGCAAGTCTCGCACCTAAGTCTGCACACCTGTCCTGCTCTTTGTACAATTCGGCAAGAGATGCAGAGTCACATGAAGCCAGGGCCTGACTGGGACTGCACGGCAGTCAGTTTCAAGCAATACATCCAGCAGAAGGTCCAGCTCAAGCTCGTGTGCTTGCGGTTGTATGATGATGCTAAATGTCAGCGCAGCCGTGAGGCGTAGTGACAGCTGCTTCAGTGCAAGGGCATGGTCCCCTCCGGTGCGCACATGGCGGCGAGGGAGTTACCATACTCTACACTCGTGGAATGGCCTTTTGGGCCACCCTTCCCAAACCGGAAGTGGGTGGCTTCATGCAATACTCCATAGAGAGCCGAATTGGGTGCATGCGTGCCTTCCCCGCGCAAGTGTTCGGCGGGCAAGTCTGTGATACATGCGCAGTTCACAGGTACTGTACCTCAGCCCGCGGAAAGTTGCTGTCCGTTCAATCAGGGCTCCATCCAGGCTTCCGGTGTACACCTTCGTGCAACAAGGCCTGAGAATAGCTTCAGACTCCAATGGCAGCCAAGGGGCAGCAGACCAAAAATGCAAAAGTGCGAAGGAATGTATGATTCTATCAGTGTGCGTTGCAAGTCCTTGGTTGCACACATGGCAAAGAAACTTGCTCTCAAGTCTTTCCAGCGCTGTTCGTAACAGTGCCGCACACGTGGCACAAACTGAGCATGACCGCCAGTTCAGCACAGAACAAAAAGCAGCAAAAGGGCGAAGCAACACCGGGACTTGCAGCCAGCTTTTTGCATGTTCGACTGCTTTGACCAGCAAAGGGGCCCCCTCTGAGGGCCAGGAAATGCCAGGAACAAGTTCGAACGATATAGACTGTCCTGAGATGGCACGCAGCAGTCGAGCTTACAAACTGAAAAATACACACCCTGCCACAAGTGCACACTGTTGCTCCATCCAGGATGTCCACACAATAAATGCAGGTAAGCATCACCTCAGAAACTGCCTGGTCTCGGGCCTTCGTGCAAGTTCACCTGCAGGTTCTTCGGCTTCAGTCCTCGTCCGAGATCCGACTGCTTACTTCAAAGAGACAGAGCAGGAAGCAGCTTCGAGCTTCGAAAACCAGGATTCCAATCCTTTCCGAGTTCACGCTGTGTGCATGTCTGGTGTGCTTATGGCAGATGCTCGTCGTGCAATGCAGTCGAGTTCAGGCATTGCCAACACGACACTATGAGCTGGCAGAACACACGAACTAACGGTGACTCTCAACTCACTGAGAGTGTGTCCTTCGGAAAGCTGAAACTCGCGGTACTGAATGTAGATGTCCTCCAACAAGGAGGAGACCAAGTGCCTCAATCGAAAGTGTCTCGTACAGCTGAGCTTTCGTGCAGAAGCCTCTTATTGTCGTATACATGACGGTCGTTTATCAACATCAGCATCATCACCACCGCCGCACTGTCGCCGTCGCAGAAACCAGAGTATTTGTGATCCTCCTAGCCGCCCTCATCATCAACATCATGAGCACATGCGTCGTCGTCCTCAGCTTCGTCATCGCTGTGGCCATTGCCGTCATAGCCATCCCGATGAAACCATCATATCACATCTCTCGTCTCCTGCTTCATGCTTTCCTTGATTCATCCCTGCATTCATTGCTTCCGTTCTTCATGAGCTCCTTCATTCCTTTGTTCACTCCATCCATCCATGTCTCAATTCATGCATGCGTTCGTTCGTGCGTCCGTCCCAATCGCAGTCCGAGTCGCAGTCGTCGTCTCCGTCGCGGCGTCATCGTCGTAGTAGTAGCAGGAGAAGGGGCAGGCGCAGGAGGGGGAGAGGAGGAGCAGAGTAGCTGTAGCAGTAGCAGCAGCAGTCGCAGCAGCAGCAGTCGCAGCAGCAGCAGTAGCAGCCAGCTTTAGCAGCAGCAACAGCAGCAGCAGCAGCAGCAGTCGCAGCCGCAGCAGCAGCAGCAGCAGCAGCAGCAGCAGCAGCAGCAGCAGCAGCAGCGGTAGCGGTAGCAGCCAGCTTTAGCAGCAGCAACAGCAGCAGCAATAGCAGCTGCAGCAGCAGCAGCAGCAGCAGTAGCAGCTAGCTTTAGAAGTAGCAGAAATTTGTCGTCGTCGTCGCAGTCGCAGCTGCTGTGCCTCCCAGCACTTGCGCTAGCACTAGCGCGAAGACAAGACCACCTAGGACTACGACGACAGCAACAACTGCTACAATTGTAACTACACTACACAGATCCACAATACCCACGCCACTACATGATGGACAGTTCGGCCATTACCAGAATCCACCCATCACCTGCAGCAACAGAAAATGACAACATGCCCACAACAACCGTCACCACTGTCCTTTCCTGTTCCTGGGCCACAGGCTTAGCTTCCTCGTAGGAGGCGGGGTCGGGCACGCTGACGCAAAGCATCAAGGGGTCCGAAGACTCCTGCCAGAAAGACAAGACGAATGTGATCATTTGCCCTTCTCAGAGAAGGCCGAGAAAAGAGGCGCCTTCTGCTCCGGACCCTCGAGAAATTTGGAACCACGGCCACGGAGGCGGAGCTTGGCCTCGGCCCAACAGCTCGAAACTTCCTCTGAAGGAGAGAGCCCAAGCCCAACAACAAGGAGACTCTTGAAGGAAGCGAATTCAGTTGAGCTGCACCTGTCTTCTCGGCGATGTCCTTCATGTGCTGGCCCTTGCGAGGAAGTTTTCATGCAGGGCATCTGAGACATGTTTGTGCGGCAGAGGCCTGCATGTGAAGCGACAAAAAAATTGAGCGATTGGTAGCCGCCTAGCTTCTTGATCCTCTTCCGAAGTTCCAAAGCCCTTCAATATTTTCTGGCCTTCTGACCCAGCAGTCGTCGGCATACTCGGAAGCGGCCCTTTCAGGAGGAACGGCTTTGATTTCTCAGTCCCCTCTCATCTTGCAGCGAATGAACCCTTCGAAGCATTCAGTCCCGCGTCACCTACACGGGAGCTTACACATGGCAAGAGTGCGCTTCGCCTCCTCTTCAATGCCAATGATGTACCTGGCTACGGAGCATTCGTTCTGTCCCGCAATGCTTCGGAATTCCTTCCGTCTGCAACAAAACAAACTGATCTGTGCGTGAACGATCTGCAGCACGCAGCGAAAGAGCACACACAGCACGGCCATCAAAATGCAGCGGAGGGGTCTCCGAGCTTTAGCAGGTTTCCCGCCAAGACACTGGCACTGGCACTTGGAGCCGCCACCTGCACCACCTGCGGGTTCTTCATTGTGATCTCCCTTTTCGACCCGTGCCATGTGTCGACTAAACAGCGACGTCAAAAGCAACGCACCCCCCACCTCCTCCCTTGCTGCTCGCCTTGCCGCCCTTGGGCCCGGCGGCCTTGCCCTTGCCTGGGTTTCAGATGCGAAAGATCCCGAAGAGATGCGGCCCTGATCTGTAGAGGATGCTTCAGGCCGATAGCACAACATAGCATATCCTCGAATCGCTCAACGCTGTGCTTTGCTTCAAGCCCCGTGCTCTGGAGTCCGTTGGACTTCAAAGTTCGATCAAAAAGGAGCCATCGCTGCTCCACGGAAGACGTCCACACAAGAACAAGACGAGACGTCTCGAGACATCTAGACACCGAATTGTTCCAAGCCACCTTTCCCTTTCGGTGCGTACGAGGGCTTCTCGTACTGCCAGCCTGCACAGCCAATCCAGCAGAAGGTCTTAACAGAGCAACAGCTTGTGGCTTAGACTTCCGCGAGCATGCGCCTCCGGCAGACCACCATGTTTGTCGATGTCCTTGCACCTGTAGGGAGTGCAGAATCGGCAAGGAGACTTGACGGCTCTGTCAGACCGTAGAAACTGAAACTGTTGACCATGCGACACTCTTATCCTGCGACTTCTTCAATGTTTCTTCTTCCTGCAAGTGTCCGCCACAGTCAAGTGGCCTTTCACTCTGCAACGAGTGTGAGTGACAAGGCATCACCGTTGGCATGGAACATGACTGGGCAGAGCGGCCAGTTTCTATGAGCAGCCCGCTCAGAGCTGAGTCAAGGTTCGAGGATTCACTAGTTCTGCGCATACAGTCCAATCGTTCAGGATTCGGCTGATCCGGGAAGAGCCTTGGTCAAGACAAGAGCCCTCGCGTGGCCTGACCGTAGGACTCGCCGGCCGGGCGCCACTGGGACTTTCTGCCATAACCACCGTAGTCGTAGGCCTTGCTGGCAGCTGGCCCTAGAGCCCGTGCAGTGAGCAATCGCTCTATGATCCGGTGCAGCGGTTATGCATTTGGAAGCTCTCGAATCCGTGTTTCCCCATTGAGCGCCGCACCGCTGCAGACGATGTTGCTTTTGAATCATCCGCGTACGAGTTCTTCCACCATTTGGAGGACTTGTAGCTCCAGCCTCACAGAACACGCTGGGCTGAATCTGCGTACAGTTGGACACAGGACCAAGGGTTTCACAAGTGCCAGGACAAGGTGTGCACACGCACTGGCACACATGAATGCGTGCGTGAACTCTATAAAGGTGCGTCATTTTGCGTTCGGACATGCGTGCCTCACGACAACATGAATGCACGAAGCAGGATACATCCCGGCAAGAAACTCGAGAGGCCAGCAAACCCATAGTCGGCTCCCCTCGACACCCTCGCACTCGAGTCCGTGCGAAGTCGCGAGCCCTCCAAGTTTCGGATGACCACGGCCGACCCATCCTTGTCTCCCGCGCGTCGATCAGCCCGGACACATACCAAGACCGAATAGTGCAGTTCAATTCCTGCTTCCGCGATTATTTGGAAAAACTAATTCATTCCTGCCCGCGACAGCTTCATTCACAGATCTTCTCCCAATGAGCACATCTTTAGGTCTTGAAGCCTCGCAATGTCGCTCCGCTTGAATCTTCCTGCCCACATCTTCCTTTTGCAACCAGATTTGCCCGCCAGACCCTCGCATCTTTCATGTTCCGGCCCCGCTTGCGAGCATAGCAACAGTTATCAGCAGCTATCATCATCGAAATGAGCACCGATGCTAGAACAGAGATACTATTAACATAGAGCACTGAACTCAACTGGTGTGCCCACGAACCCTTCAAACACACCAGCGCTGTTCAACAAGGTACAAGATTACATCTTGGTAAATTGTGGCTTTGATTTTCAGGTTGTCAGCTGCGAACAGTGAAGAGCAGTGGTTCGATGATGTTCGGTGGCACCTTCGTCTTCAGATGCTTGTGAGCTTTGAGTCACAGCATGCGAGCCTCAGATGAATGCTACATGCCGGCATGCGGAATCAGAACTTCGACTTTGACCACTGGATGCACTATTCGGCTGAAGCGGCTTGTAGATGCTGTGGTCTCCTGCTGGTCAATGTCTTCTGCGAGATCTGCCCATCGCGGCTTGACAGGGGAAGATACCTGAGAGGGCGGAGGCGGTATGCGGCGCAAGGGATCTCTGAGCTGTGCCCAGGGCCCGGGCCTTCGAGTCTCTCTGGGACTCCCTGGGAGGCGTGGACGAGGATTGTGCCTCAAACACCATGCAAAATGCATGAGCCAGGAACTCCTCTTGGAGCCACCCCGGCCTGATCTTGCTCGTCGTCTGACTCGTCCGAGTCACAGAGGTCAGCCCAGCGTCGGCTCTGTGGAGCCTCCACATCCGCGGCTCAGCACCGTTCACAAACCCCACTATGAATCCCGCATCTACCAAACTGGGTTATCGTTCGCTTGCTACTGCCAATCGTTTCACAGTGGATCAAGCACACCAAACAAGAGGGAAACACCTCATTTTCTCACCTCACCGCAACACACGAGAACTATCGTTCCCAAGTATGGTGCCACTGAAATTTCCAGGGCTGCCGGCTGCCTTCTCAGCTGACAGAAAATTGCAGTCGACGTCGGCAACATCTGCCCACCCTGACATGGAATGCTACGACGATGTGGGCGGGGGTTTTGTCTTGCACTGCATAGAGTCATGCGATGCTGATGGCCACGTTGCAAAACGACACAATGCTGCTCCGTCTGCAGATGAGCTGCTCGTCGTGGCATCCTTGCAGCTGTGTTTTTCTTAAGTGTGAATGAGTGAGCGGCTTTGGGGGTTCGGAACGATGCCAGTGTGCCCCCCCACACCCCATAAAAAAAAAGCCAGAACGCACCTAAACGGAAGGATCCCACTTTGGGGGTCTGTAACTGCGATTCCAGAAATCCCCAATTACTTGTGAGATCCTTCTATCTAATTAAACCTATGTGGTCTTTCGGACTATATCCACACAAGATCGTGAACCCAAAGCTGCCGTCAAGGTCTGTGTCAGCGGCCCATAGTATCTCCCGCTGTTTTGCGCAATCAAATCGGAACCACTGCACCGCCGTCCTCGCGGTCGTCACAAAGTGACGGCGCTGCTGTGGAGAGACGATCCTCTTCCTTCACGAGCACAGGCCCATGTGACACAGGGATGCTGATAAGGATCGACATAGGCGCAGTGGTATTGACTCGCAGCACGCACCTCTCCGTCGCGAAGGGCCTGGCAGCCCGAGGCACGGGCAGGCGAGGCCTCCGATGGCCCGCTTTCAGCACCTGAGCAAGTGCCACGTGGATGGCGTCTGAGGCTCCCTGCACTGAGCTTCGGAATCTGAGCAGCCAAGCCGCATCGCGGATCCACGCTGGCACAGGACATCTTGGAGGAACTTGGGCAAGCGGAGTTATCGGTGTTGATCGCAAGTGCAGTATAGCGCACTTGAACCAGACTTCGGCATAGAGAAGCTGCGGACAGAGTTGGCTCCATCACAGTGATTTCTCGGTCTCTTGGCAGCATTCTACAGTACAGATAGTCCGATGGAGTCCGACAGGCTGCAGTGCAAAAAAACACAAAGCACCAAAACTAGACGTGACGATATCTACCTTCGACCAGATTTAGGAAAGAGGCCTTGGCCCCGAAATGGCAGTGCTTGGTCGAGCACAGGTCGCGGTGCTTCCTGCCACAGACCTGGACTTAGCGATGCTGCTTTGGCTGATTCTACCCAAGCGATTAAAACGAGAAAAGAACGAACGTGAGCCTACCAGCCGAGCCCTTGCAGTCAGCGGCGTGTTGCACAACAGGTGGCGCTTCGGTCAGCTGAGCTCCATGGCACTGTACTCCTTTTCCAAATATTCCAGTACCTCTCTCCACGAGCAGAGATCTTGCTGAAGCTTCGCGAACTGAAGGCTCTGTCCATTTTCCTTCTTTACTTGCAGACGAGTTCTCATGGCGCCTTATCGGGGTTCTTCACCTCGTTCTGCTCCAGGCGTGTCCACATGGGGACACTAGATTTCGCCTGGGTCCGTGCCTCGCAACGTGCAGAGCTGCGTGAGTGCTTGTGGGCGAGGCACAACGTTTCCACAACTCCCTTCTAGAAAGAACAAAGCTTTACAAGTCTTGAATAAGCCAGTCATCGAGGCTATCCCGTTCAGTTCTGCCCCCCAGGCTGTCTCCGAAACCGCTGATGACTCCAGCCTCTTCGGCAGCTCTCACCAGCAACTCTACACCCCGCTCCTGCACCAGACAAGACGCACGGCAGATGTCAACGCTTCAGCGATTCCAATTGGACAGACTGCTGCAGAGCACAAACATGCTTCCACGCATCTGCCACCAATCGAGGCTCTTGTCGAGGCCCGCACGGTGAAGCGGTTGTGGGAGAGGTGAAGCTCTTCGAGTGTGTAACACTTGCGCACGAAGCGGCTCAGTGCCTCTACACCAGGATCTGCTGTAGATCACTCTGACTCTTGCCGATTCTGGAGCATTTGCGGATAAGAGATTCAGCGCTGCTGGACTGCGATCAGAATCCGCAACGTGCCTGCGCGCCATCATCGTTGATGTCCTGCAGAATCCACTCGGGACGACACGATTCACAGCTGCTCGGTCTTATCATCACTCAGGACCCCACATTCTTGTAGAGCTTCAAGACACGCAGCTTCTCACATCGGGAGCAAAGCTCCAGAACCTGCAAGACGGGGGCCCAGGCATCGGGTGGCCCTCAGGCTGTAGTACTTTGCCTTCCGCAGACCCTCTGCAGAAAGTCGGTTCCTCAGAGCAGATTTCGCTGGAGTCGGTATACGGTTATCCGTCAGGAGATTTTAGGTCTGCCCTCCCTGTTGCAAACCCCAATGCTTTCACTGATACGGATTCATGATTGTGCGCGGTAACGGGTGAAGCTCAGCTCGACTCCCACATGTAGGCAAGGGCACACTGCTGGCATTGCACTTACGGTTCTTTTGCAAGCTGCTTATCCGCCGGAGGTCTGGGCTGACCTAGGGCACGATCAACCGGCTGGTGCGATGATGCCCCGAGGTTGTTTTGATTACAGGCTGACCACTGACTGCAACTGGATCAGCCTGTCATTGTGCAGGGCCTCTTTGTGCCCCTTCTACTGCAGAAGTCTTCTGCAACAGAGAAGAAACACTTGCAGAAGATCTGTCTTAGTCTTAGTCCATTTTAACAAACCAGTAGCAAGGAATATAGGGAAATATGTGTTCAATCCAGACACGTGCAGAGATTTTGTGCGCAGCTGAGTTTGTGCGCCGGGAGCACATCAGCAGCGTCAGCATGCCTCATTTCCGGGGGCCACAGACGGAAGATTAACTTCCGGGCTCAGTGGTCGATCCATCTGACACTCCATCTGACTGACTTTAGCATTATTCGTGATGGACCACAGTTTGAAACTAAGCCGCCGTCTGCGTTCTCGCAGCCATCCCAGCCATCTACACAGCCCGAAGCGCCCGAAGAATTCCGAATCTCAGAAGATGCAAAGGTGCAGCGTGATGCCGAGCGGGGGAAGAGGTGGCTGCGATGCTGCGACCAGCCAGCGCCAAGTAGCACCTTGCGTTGCACTTCCTGCTAGCATGGCAATAATCGAAGTTCAGCTCAACGAGCCCTAGACGGCCGCGCCTCTATGTAGAGATCGCGCATCTCCCGCCTTCAAGAACACAACACTCTTGATCTTGCAGATCAAAAGAATAGCATGAAGCCTTGAGGAGGGTCGCAAACGACACAGCAGCCCATGCATAACATGCCACCCGCTGCTAACTCTGGTGCCCAGCTGCAGCTGTTGGTTCCGTCGCACGACAAGCTTCTGGTATTCCTTGCAGAGATCACCAAAGATCACTGCACGGCGCCATGCAGCATCCCCCAAAGGCTTCACGGCCATGAGCTGCACAGCTGACCCCAAGTCACCATGTCTCCGGTCTTGGGACTTTTGCACAATTTAGTAGCTCGTGCTGCCACGGCTCCTCTTTGACGTCCTGCCATGGCGGCAATGGTTCCGCCGGCTTCTTCGATTTCCTCAGTGAAACAACTGCAAGCCTCGAACTACCAGAAACACATCCGAACTTCGGGTGGATCGGCATCTGTGCTAAGACGGTCTGTATTAGCCTTTCATTAGAGTTTATCGACGACATCCCCAAGACAAGGCAGAGTCCCGGACAGGGCTTCCGAAAACAGCATATGTGTCAGAGAGTAACTGCTGCAACAAACATAGGAGACACATTGCGCTCTTATGACTCCCGTCGCGACTCGCCTCGGCTCTGAAGTCTACAGACTCTACAGCAACTTGCAAAGAGCCTGGACAGCGTCAGGACGTAAAGTCGTTGCCGGGACGCTCCATCGTGTAGAGCATGTACGCATTGACCTGTCCACTTTACAATAGATGCTCCGCATGGTATCAGGCATCCCTCCGAAGCTGTTAGCTGGTGTTTTGCAGCCTTGGTGCCTCCATGCAACAACGGGAGTCTTTGCAGTTTGTAGTGTAGTGTTGTCGGGCCGAAGGGAGTTGGGAAACGTGTTGCTTGCTATTTCACCGCCATGCCCACAAGCAGCATTAGATCTGCCTGTGGCTTGGGTGCCACGTCCAGCAGCTCCTCGGGCAGAGCAGCAGAACAGACACAGCCAAGAACTCTTCTGTAGCATCAAGCTGCCTTGAGCAGGGCATGCATGCGAAGCCGCCACTGGGCAACCTGCTGATACACCTGCAAGCAGACCAGGCACAAGCCACACGACGGCCCACCATGCCGTGAACATGGAGCTTCCTCCGTCGTCCGACCTCGATGGCCGCTACTGAGGCACCGCGGTACTTTCGCCGTGACGGTGCGTCCATGCTGTCCCAGGTCGAACTGAGCCTGTAAAGATGCCGCGAACTTTTTGATGGCGTTGCGACTGCCTCCCGAACCTCCCGGGACTGAAGCGCTTGTCCGAAAGCTTGTCCCAATCCTCCAGAGACACAAGCCGTGGCTTCTGCCGCGACAGCGGCCTTTTGCTCTCTAAACACGCTGCAACATGACCGACCATCGACCGGATGTCCTGGGCCATGTAATGTTGCTCTGTCATGGGCGGTGGCGGCCTCTGCGGGTTGCACATCAAGGTCGCGACCTTTCGAGGTTCGTGAGCTGCTTGCACCTGCGAAGCCCTGGCCACGGCAAGCGCACCACGTCGCGGCGTTTCAAAGCCTGGATGCAGGCTTTGTTATGGCCTCTGAGTGAGTTGAGGGGCAGGATGATCGCTCTCTCTGCACATTTCTTTCAAGTCTCCTGAAGACCATTGAAGAACCTAGCAAACTCCTCTCTCGCCCCCTCTCCCTCACCCTGGCATCGGCCCAGGCCTTGGGTTCTGTCTCGCGGCCTGGACTCAGAACAGCGTTGCTTTTCCGTGCCAAGGACAAAGCACCAACTGCACCTCTTTTTGGGAGAGTGCAAACCTCCGCAGACAGTTTGCTCAGCGAGAGCTCCACATCCTGAAGCTCGAGGAGGCGAGCCACTGCTCTCGGTTGGGGCGCTTTACTCAGCTTCGCACCTCAGCTTTTTTCAGCCAAAGAGTCGCTCCCGCATCTGTCCATGGGCAAGCGGCAGGTTGCATGGATCGGATGCACACAAAGTCATTGCACGCACGAGAAGGGCTGACTACGAAACATGCAGGTTTCCTCTGTCACGCGCCAGGGGAATGCGAAGGCATCATGCGAATTTACGCCATGCCAGGTCTCCACGTCTCGAAACCGAAGCCTAGTGACAACTGCTCTGGCCTGCAAACTCTGTCTGGCAGACTCCTGAGCAGTCAACGCTCGAAGAGCTTGGCTTGCGTTCTTGCTTCGCCCTCACCCTACAGAAGCTGCCGCATGCGTCACACAGAGTTCGCCGCATGCACACAGAGCTCGAAAAGCTCGGGACATGATGAATCAGCTGCAAGGCTCTGCCATGCCAACTTCTCGAAGGCTCCACGACAACGACCTGGTGCAGGCGGACAAGTTTACCATTGCAGGCATCAGCCTCTGCAACCGGGTTACACGCGCAAATAGCATCAAACAGATCTTAGGACGCCGACCAAATCGCCAGTTTCCACCGCACCGGCTTCAGGCAGCCGGCGGGCCTGCGAAGACTGGTGAACAGAAGAACTGCATGAGATGACCGAACGGCCTCCTTGCGGAAGTCCTTCAAGTCCTGCATGGCCACAAAGTTGTTGCAGCTGAGTCATGCTTTCGCAGCGAACCACTTTGTCTGCGCATATCAGGAATCCTTGTGCCTGTCATAACGTGACATAATAGCGTGTTTTCAGGAGGGCAGTCGCTGCGTGTCTGTAGCTCAGATGGGTGGGTTCGCTCCTCCGTCGACCAGGCGTTGGCTCTTGCTACGAACTGCGACCGATGCATTCGCAGTACCGCTGACACCCTTCGATGTCACGAATACGTTTGTTCCGCTGAAGCTTCTTACAAACTCTACGATGCATTCGTCCGTTGACACGTGTGTGCACGGTTGTGCGGGTGCAGCTGGGAGACAAGTGTTGTTCTCTGGTGTCAACAGACCGCCGGAATGTCACTCCTCCATAGTTGAGATGTTGGTTCTCTCCATGGACCAGTATGACCAGTTTAAAGAACTCGGAGCCCAATCACAAAAGCGAACGAAAAGTACACGGGATGCCCAGTTTCTTTTCGAGGGTTTTAGGCATTCCCGGCAGATGGACAACGACAGGCAAGTCTGGCCTCAACAGTCGCTGCCGGCTCAGCAGACCAAGCCGATGTGACACGCCGCGCTCTTCGCGGAGCCGGAGGCGAATCTCCGACAATGGGCATGGCGTCCACGGTTTCATGAAAGCTACCGTGGGAGCATTGGGAGGCTAGCAGTTGGTAAACCTGTGACAGTTGATTTATGCAAGTAGCTGCACCTCCTCAGGAAGAAATTCCGACCTCTAACACATATCGCTGGCGATCCGCTACTAGACTGCCCCGTCTCTTTGCAACGAGACATGCATGCGACTTGCCTTCACGCTTCAGACGGCTTCGGGCAAGCAGTGATGTTGTCTGCTAGAACTCCCATTGCATGCTGGCCCATGACTGTCGACGGCCTATAGCCACAGTTGGACAGCCCAGGGAATTTTTGCTTCCTGCACAGTGTATTTTGGCCAAGCGTCTGAGAGAAGTTTACCTCCTCATAAGGGTACACCACTTCCTTCAGGGGCAAGTCCTGCGCTCACCCACAGGGTTGTTCAGAACACAAAGTGAGGCGACAGCGGCGCCAGGCAAGCTTGCCCACAGGCTGTGCCTGCCTGCAAATCCGCATCCGAAAATGCCTGACCCTGGTAGTTCAGCCTGCCGTCAGAAGATGCTCTGAGCTGCGCGACAGCTTCGGCATGAACACTCACGAAAACAGTCATTGGAGAGCTTGCCGTGCGGACCTTTTGGAACTCATCAACGCCCGCGATCACCTGTCAGTCAATTCCAGCATGCTCTGATCTGCAAACACCCACACCAAGCATTTGTGCAAAGATGTGGTCCACTTCTTTCAATGTTCATCTCCGAGACGCCACTTCTTCTGCTTGATCAATGATTTCACAGTACAGGTTTCGGAGATAGCTGCCTGTTCCAAGGTGTCATGCGCCGGTCCGACGGGATGGGATGTGGCTTACGAGCCCAGACGGGATGCCACAGCCCATGCGAAGCTTCTTCCCTGCTCCAACTAGGCCTGCCGCTGGCGGCTGGGTTCAACTAGCTTCTGGAACTGCGAGGCTACTGTCGTTCGTTTGAGAGCTTGTGCAGAGTTGCAAAGTCTTCTGTGGGGAGACTTCCTGAATTGCTTGTCCCTCTAACCCAATCATTCTGAGCGACACAGGGCCAGGCGACATGCGAGCACTCGGCATTGAGAGTGTCTTTAGCTTAGCTCTTCTTTCTCATGTCCACGTGATCGCGAAAGCAGTTGCTTGCGGACCAAAGTAACATGGCAGCCTGTGCGCACTGCTGTCGAAGTCGCTTTCGATTTTCTTCCATCCACGCGCGAGCTGCCGGCCCATGACCCCAGTCAGGACATGGCACAGCTCCTGCCGGACGAGCATGTCCTGGCGCTCGCAGTCAGATGCCAGTCCTACGCACATGGCAAAGACCCAACCATGCAGGGACACCCGGTCGGCGATCCAGCCATGGTTGCCAGAAGAACCTGGAAGACTTGGCAGTGAAATCCGTACACTGCTGAACATCTCGGCTCAAGATACCTAGTCTTGATGATGCCGACCCTTGAGACACCACAAGACAAACCATCAGGTTCGATCAATTCGATCCATGCAGCATAGACCTTGCTTTCACACTACGCGATCCATAATCACGCATGCATAGCTTGCTTACATCATCACATGGTGAGCTTGATCGTGCCGAGCCTCTTGGACATCCTGCGCCCGCAGACGAGCTGCGATGTCCAAGGGTAGCATCCTTGCATTGGAGAAAAAGGTGGATTCGTAATCGAAGACTGCCTTCAAGGTTTAGAAGAGCGTGCCTCAGCTGATCTCGGCAATCTGGGTTGGCTCGGGCCGCCAGAAGCCGGCGGACAGACCTCAATACTGCCGTCGATGCTTGAGAACCCTTCGCTGAAGACTTCTGTTTGCTGCCAGATTAGTCATGCAAAAAGAGCATGCAGGGGCTGCAATCCCACATTGGCATGGTGTTCAGAGTTCAGACCCGAGCTCCACGTCACTGCTCGCTGCAGCCAAATGGAGGGCAGAACGCCCATCTCGGGACCTTCGGCGCCATTCCAGACACACTCGGCGACCATCATCCTGCTCCGTACGAGTATGGCTTCTGCGAAGCGCAGAGACACACATCAATCCAAGACCGGTTCGCCGTCAAGTTCGTTAAACGAGCCTAGGAGCGCTGCGAATAAGGTAATCTTTGTACGAGTACCGGCGAGCAGGGCCACATCGGCACCGGGGTCTGTGGCCCAGACCCGGCGGCATGCGGGCACGCTCTGAGATCCTTGCCACGCTCACACATTCCACATGTCAAACTGGTAAGATCCCCACACACCGTTTTAACACATTTTGAGGTGGCATGACGACAAGTCCACCCTTGGGGCGGGGCCAGCAACAACTGCACCAGCGCAGGACACTTTCGCCTTGCAGCGACCTGACTCAAACCGAAGTTTATGCACTCAGCAATGAAGTCGAGATCAAATCATGTCGAGACTTGTGTTTTCCTCAAAAGTCTTATCACTTCGGCCCGGCGCATGAAGAGGCTCCTGGCCACGGCTGTCTGCAACGGCCAGAGCCTCTCTCAGCCACGCTTAGAAAGCCCACCGTGTCTCGACAAGCTTGCAGACTTCATCCACTTCCTCCCTTTATCTCCCTTTGTCATCCCTGACTGGCCGAACCAATGAACGTGTCGCCCGCACTACCACGCCTGTGGCTCTCGTGCGAAGACAGCAAATGCCTCAAGGCGGCACTGCCATGAACGGCAGGAGACGTGTGCTTCAGTGCTACTCGGCACATCTGCAGTGTTCAACCAAGACAGCCGCAGTGTCCAACATCACCGTCAAACCTGACGAGCTTGACCTGGAATGTCGAAGTACGGTCGAGGGCTTCTGTCTAGTGTTGCGGCACGACATGTCAGATGCACTCAGGGCCTTATGCCTCTGCACGTTGGGGGGTGAACCCATGCAGTTTATGAACAAGGTTCCAGGTGGTTGGACAGACCGGCACAGCGAATGTGCTAAAGGTGTCGAGAGACTTGATCCACGAGGTGCTATACCATCTGCACATGAAGCAGCGTGTTCTAGCAGACGTTTGGGGCAGCGGTCATGCCTCAAGCTACATTGAGGAGGCGATCCATGTGCACTGAAGGATCCAATCTGCTCAGGGAAAGCTCTCGCAAAGGTCAGTACACCATGGCTTGGTGGTATGCGCATGGGACTACCGCGCACGAAGCTCCAGAGGAGAAGCATGCGGCATTCTTGCTAACGCTGCAGGCCAGATCAAGTAAGCCGAGTTCGTGTGTGGACGCGCATCCCTCATTCCAAGCCACAAGCCGTTGCCGTGCCAGAGCCACGTCAACGGCGGGTGCTTCCGTCTTGGGCTCTGGTGGCTGGAGCAGCGGCCGTCACACCAAAATGGTGGGAGATCAACGATCGCTTAAGCTTCATGTTGAGGCTCAGCAGGGCAACCAATAATTTCGTCAGACTCGTTGTAGTGGAGAAGACTTGGGATTTCTTGCCTCTACGGCCCCACTACCGCTGTTCTTTCTTAATGGAACATCGGATCTTTGCAATGCGTTGCTCGATGTTGCTCGCTTTGCAACGGACCTGTTTGGCTGGAGCGCTGCATTGCTTGTTACGGTACACTTCCGCCGATAAGACGTGTCTGGAATCTGAAGGCTGGGGATTCAAAAGGATCTTATCCCGAGCTCTGCCCATAGAGGCATTGCCACTGAGCATCGAACATCGCAGTTAGTTCCACCACACAGTTCGTGCTCACCTCTCAGGAGTGCAAGCAGGATGGTAGATGCAGGCAACCCATGTAATCCATCGGCTTGGTAGACAACGAAAGGAAGAAGGGCACTCAGGATGGCTTGGCGACAGGAATCCTAACCCGCGTCTGCATACAACTGACGAATCCCGCATGCAATCAGGCAGCACAACAGAGGGAGTTGGATTTTTGTGCAGAGAATGAATGACATCAATGCCTCGGACTGCCCAGCGTCGGGCAACGTGGCCGACGGCCTCAAGCAAAACCCGGAAAATCACCTTCGACTGATCTTGTTTGGTCATCTTCGCTTATGCAGCTCATGTCACTCGGCTGCAGGCCAATGCTCGACCACCCATCGTTGCAGCATCTCGCTGTCAAGTCCTGGCGCGAACAAGGGCCTTCTGCCCAAGAGCCAGAGTCTCACGTGCACGCGACTCTCTCGCGCAAGCAAAAACACGCAGACCCTCACGTTTCCTGAAAAGCACTCACTGGCTGGCACGAGTGAGATGAATCTAACTACCACGCGACTCCTGCTGTGTCGCCTCACCATCCTACGTGTCTGGAACCTCGCACTTCACGACCCCTCCACATGGACCGCATGAGGACCTTCCCCTCACCGCGCTACTGCTGTCGCCAGTTCAAGCCATATCAAACATCCTGAATGTCGGCAAAGCATCAGCGGAACGTCCTGTCGGCACAAAGCGCTGCCAGCCCACGGCGCAGCGGCCAAGCAGCACGCAGCTGCACGCTCTGAGCACATCGGGAGATACACAGGTTGATGCAAACACAGCTCAGACTTCGTTGCAAACCATTTGACACCCCTCCCTCGCCGCTTCCCTACCGTCAACAGCAGAAGATCAAAGTCTCAGGGTAGTCCTTGACACTGCTCCGGGGGTCATCTGCACTGCAAAATGGACTATGTTTTCTTGAGCGTCCTTGCCATCTTCCCCACAACATGCGTCTGTGACTCGCATTGCTGTGCGGTGTACAGACTCAAACTAGCGCAGGCTCTCCGAGCACGTTGCCCGAGAAATGCGGAGATCGCAGACCTGCTTGGGCCAGCAGCTGAGCGAAACGAAAACGCTGCTGGTCGGAGTCTGTTCAGGGGCTCCGGCGCAAGCGGAGGTGGTGCTGAGCTGGGGCGCAAGCCTCCTGGGCACAGGAGACGATTAGCAGCTTCGACCCTTTGTGGCTTTGATGGCCCAGATCCTCATAGCTTCAACATCGGCGTTTTGTACCAAGCTGCGTATGTCGAGGCCGGCAGCGAAACGCAGAATCTCAGAAAGCTTGATGAAGCAGGCTCACAAGGGGAAAAATTTTGTCGCAGAGTGCGGGTATGGCTTCGCGTCTAAGGCTCGCGCTCCCTGTAGCGAGTACTGCATCCTCATGCACCCAAGCAGAACTGAGCTATGCAGCGCTGAGATGGTGTTCCATCGCAATCTGACAGTCTTTCATGAGATTCAAACCATGGACTGGAATCCCCAAGCCCAAAGCATCCTCTGGCAACATCCATCAAGGTGAGTGTCCGTGACTAAACGAATTCGTCGTGAGAGCTCGGAAGCACTCTGGGCACGAAGCACGCCGCCTTACTAGTCGTAGTCGTACTCTCAAAGAATGATGAAACCGAACCAGGAACCGCAGCACGACTGCAAGTAGCAATCTGCTGGGTCCTGTCATCTTCGCTCTCGGACACCGCATCACAGCGTCCTCAGCACGGACACGAAATGCCACACCACCCCGCCGCTGCATCCTTGAGGCCTGTCCTGAGCCTGTGCCCCTGCGGCGGCGCATCGTGTGGCACGAGACATCATGAAGGGACACTATGAAGTGTGTGGCTTCCGGCGTAGTTTGTGGAAGGTGCCGACAGAGAAAGTCACTGCTTCATGCTCAGTCCCATGCACTCGAGATAGAAGTCCCTTAATGTCACTAGGCGCTAGACTGCTTTCGGTGCCATGGCTGCAAGCAGGATTGTCTCCATCGAACAGTACGGTTTGGGAATTGGATGCAGAAGCCTCTGAACATCAATATTATCCTTCGCAAGTGTGTTGTACAGTACCCTGACAATCCCTGAAACGTTTGTTCTTGCTTCTTGCCGTACTGCACCCATTCAGATCTTGTAAGTTGTGGATAAACCCATTCGGGTTTGATGGGACGGCTTCTTAACTTTGGGGCAGGGGATGTCACGGATTTGGCAGTGCCGAACTCTTACGCAGCGCGTCGGAGTGTTGCGGTGACTTTGAGATGAGTCTAGGCTGGGTTCTTGCGGAGTGGAACGGTTGCCTGCGGTCTGGTCCCCCATCATTTCCTGATTCGTCCCTCCATCTTCTTGGTGGCATGCCGACTTGCTCCTTAGCACACATGACACATGCCTGTGCCGAAGCCCAACATGAAGCCACTGAGCAATGGCCATGTGTCGACCTTACTCAAAGCTAAAAGGTTCGTCTCATGTACACTTTTCATCATAGTATGGTGAAATGGAGCTGTCTGAACTCCTGAACTGCTGGACCGTCAAACAACATTTGTCCCGGCGAGTTCGAGAGTAGCGAGTTGACTTGGCAGCAGCGCCCACTTGAGGGAGCCGCTGTCACAGGCCATCCTATCCACCAGCACAGCATTTGTCGGCATGGAGACTTCTTGTAAAACCTGAACGGCAAGCACCAGAGCGACTGCTTGTCGAACAGCATGATGAAAAGTTCAACCGCAACATCCTTTGTACACGCTGCCACTCACCACTTCACAATCGGATCACCACTTCGGGATCCTCTTCGTCCACGGCCTGCCACGAGGACGTCACAAAGGAGTGGCACATTGTGAACTTGACATTCTATGCCAATGCTGGCGGAAGATCCGGAAGGACAAACAGTGGGCATGCAGTTCAAGCAGACTGAGATCCTGTTTTCGCCATACAGCAAGGGTTCAATGCAAGAATGCTACTATACATCGGCAAAGAGCCTTCTCTCAGCGCATGCATGCGCCACGGTTGCACGGACGGAAGCTGTCACTGCCAAGGTCCAAGCTGAAGCCAACGCAATTGGATTTAAGTCGCTTCCGTCCCGCACTGGTGGCGGTGGGTGAGCACGATTCGATTGGAACTAGCCTCCATGTTAAGACGGACTGCCCCTGTCTTTAACAGTTTGCTTGGAAAGCGAAGCCATTCAAACCGGCCTCAAACAGAATGTAGTTTGACACTGGCGTTACTTTCTGGGTCGTCCGTTAGCTCTTCCTTCTCAAAGTCTTCGCAAAGAGATCTCAGATCATGCCTTGGCATGTCCACCAAATGATCACGAGCCATGCCGAAAAAGGGTGGGAAGGGAAGAACAGCTTTGAGACAAGTCTCATGCACAGACCGTCGTGATGCAATCCTCAGAGATGATTCAGCATGACAACGGCAGCGAGTAGGCACACTTCCGCGTGCTGACAACTCCAGCATGTCGCTCTGGGTTCCTATTTGTGGAAGTGACACGCTTCTGGGAAACTTTCACAGGTGCCAACAAGTAAGCTTCCCAAATAGCCCTGCCATGGACATGTCACGCCAAGGGTCCATGGTATCAGTCCCAACTTGGACACATGAGGTTCCGTCTGTTTTTGTGTCCCAGTGTAGCGTCAGCGCTGTGTGCAACGGGGCGCCACTCTTCTGCATGATGATGCACGTGACCACCTTTGCTGCAGTCAGTCGTCGAAACACATGCCGACTAGAGATGCGAATGGCCGGACTGCACGATGCGCAGTCTCAGTGATACACACACACACACACCACCCATGCTTGTACGACGGAAGTGGAAGTGATAGAGGGTGACTCATGGTGACAGACCTGCAGCCGTGGGAAGTGCGAACAAGCTGCATACTTGAAAGGCTTGTTCAACTTTGCAAGCTCCTGCAAGCACTTATGCAAGACTCGGTTTCCTGAAAACCCCTGCGCTCTGAACTCAAAGACGATAATGTCCTTTAGGCATTCATCAATAATTTGGTTCGTCCAGGAAGTGACTCGCTCCTTGCTGTACTGTGACCTGGCAGGGCGAACTCCAAACTGCTTGGTTAAGAGTTCAGACTTCAGGACATGACTCAGACAGAGGATTGCAACTCGAACTCCGACCCTCCAAGAGTCTTGGTGATCGCGTTCTTGACGATCTCGTTGACCTGCTCGCTGACAAACTCGTTCTCGCCCTCATCGTCCATTGCTGGGATGTTTCTTCAAAGGCAACCTCCTGCAACCTTCGAACTGCAGCAGCAGACACCTCTTTGAGGTTTGGTGTGCTTCACCCTGCTGCCTGAGCCAATGTCGTGACAGTCACACGCGAGCCGGAACTCCTTTAAGTCGCTCTTCTCATTCCCTGCGGCACTCGTGCTACGCATCATTGGACTACCTTCCCTTGCTTTTTGGGTCTGCATGCGGTAACATGGCACGCCCACCTGGTTCGGATCAACCGAAAATCGACGAGTCCGAATGAAAGGTATGCTTAAAATGCTGATGAGTGCCATACGCACCTCTGAGAACGTAACTTCTGGCTTCTGGCAGCTTTTTGCTCTCCGCGGCATCAGGATTCTGGGGGTGAAACGGTTCGTTGGCCACAGGTCCGAGTCGTCATTGCCCACGTGCCCGAGTTCTGCTGCAGGGAGCTTCAAGCACCAACAGGCTCTTTGAATGAGATGATGCAGGTCCAGCGTGGGAGTTGATCAAATCATGCCTCGGCGGAGTTCTGTACTAATCCCCAAAATGTGGTCCTCTTGGACCAGGGCCGGCAGGATAGTAAACAAAATCCCAAACCCAAGCCCTCAACCCTAAACGATTGCCACCAAGGCAAGACAAGGCTCATGCACACACGGTCGTGATGCAATCCTTGACTCCAAAGTCTGTCGCACCAATAGGCTTCGCGTTTGAGGCTCAGGGTAGGATTTACGGTTGCAGGGTCTGGGCTTGTGGGTCAAGAACCTTTACAGGGGCGACGGCTTGGGTTCTTGCTACAGGCAGTATATGGATAAGAAGGCGATTCTGCACGTGATCGCACGTGTATATGTGCCGACAAGAAAATGTGTATGGTAGCATCCCACAGGGACTGATGGGATCTTCCCTGCTCTCATACATCGGTTCTGCATTGTCGCGCATGCTTGGAATATAGCCTTATTCCGCCGGCGCCAGCGCCGGGGCCAGCGCCAGTCAGCCCGGCACCAGCCCCCTATGCCAGACCCCGCCGGTGCCAGCGCCAGCCCAGCGGCAGCGCCAGCCCTTCAACCCGCCCGCTCATTTGGCGATGCACCCTCATTTGGCGATCCAGGTTGATCACGAATCTTAAACTCGACCCCTCTTTTGACGATCCCGTTTCATCATATTTCTTAAACACACCCCCGCATTTGGCGATGCCATTTCACCACTTGTCTTAAGCATGCCCCCTCATTTGGCGACCCCGGTTGATCGCAAGTCTTGAACCCGCCACCTCATTAGTCGATCCTGGTTGATCACGTTTTTTAGCCACCCCCCTCAATCTAGGTTGTTCACATATCTGAAACCATCCAGATTCAAGACATAGCTGAAATCCACCTCTCATTAGGCGATCCTGGTTGATCACATATCTTAAAGCCGCTCCCTCATTTGGCGATCCAGATTCATCACATATCTTAAACGCGCCCCCTCATTGTGCGTTAACAGCTTCTAAGATAGGTGCCGGTGAGACTTTCTCGGAAATCCTGCCAAGAGTCCATCGTGTCTGTCCCCACTTGTACGCACGAAGTTCCATCCGTCTTCGTGTCCCAGTGCAGAGCAATGCCAGTGTGAAGTGGCGCACCGCTCTTTTGCATGATAATGCAGGTAACAACCTGAAGAGAAAGCTGCGACAGCTTTTGGGCAATCGTGCTTTCTACTGCTGCCAGGGAACGTACTTGAAAGGCTTGTTCAGCTTTGCAAGCTCCTGTGAAAACGAACTCACAACAGGGACTTGCAAGTCTCTGTACTAGGATTTGCAGTTGCACGCTTCCTTCAAACACTCGTCAATGATCTGGTTCGTCCACGGGGTCACCCGCTCCTTGCTGTACTGCGACCTGCCGTGCAAGTTAAGTTCAACGAAAGGACACAAAACAACGTCTTTGGGATCAACAGCTCTTCTTGACACCCGGCCCTCCAAGGGTCTTCGTGATGGCGTTCTTGACGACGTCATTAACCTGTTCCACGACGAACTCGTTCTCGCCCTCGTCGTCCATGGCTGGGACCCGCGAGGAGCAAGTGAGGCGTCACTTAGCTTGGCTGCGCCTTTTTTTGCAATACAACCTGGCCATTGTGCTTGTAAGTGCAAGCTGCATAGGATCTGGATAGCTCACGAAAGGCTCTGCTTTCAGCCAAGGCGACAGCCCAAGTCAGGCAACGTCAGAAGGCAGCCGCGAAGCATCAGAAGCGGTATCCAAAGAGCCAGTGCGCCACGCCACCGAGCCTCGCCGCGCTGGCGCAGGGCCGCCAGGGAGAGCAGATCGGCCTCGGAACGGCGTGAACTCGAGGCATCCCGAGGACAACAGCCCGAAACTCGCACGTTGCTCAAGAGCAATGCTCCGCTGGCCATGGAGAAGAACGGAAAGAGTGATCATGCTGCACTCTGCAAACGTTTGAAGGCCCCTACAAGAATCTACTTTGACGCGGGACCGACACGCGCCTTTTCTTGGCTCCCGAGGCTCCCAGCTCGTCGCTCTTGGACTAAACCGTCTTTGCGGGGCCATCTCCGCCCGGCTCGAGGTGCCTCGGGCGCTGCACGCTCGCTGCGTGCTCGGAGCTGCGGTCTTCGCTGCACGCAGAGAGACGCCGGGTGGAGGTAATGGCAGCGGTGGCAGGGCAGCTGACGGTCTGAAGGCGCATGAGGCTGACCTGCACCGAAAACATCTGCAGTCCTCGCAGTGCTGGTACCAGACAAGGTAGCGTGGCATGGCTTGCGTGCCATCGTATATCACGTACTCCCTGTGATCCAGAATGCCTCCATGCTCGGTGTCTTCCCCGACCACAGAATCGAATGCAGGGCGCTCGTTGTCGCCTTCGCTGCAACTTGGATGGAACCGGGGCATTGCACGGAAAGCTTTCAATGCCTTCCCAAGGCAAACCTGCGCAACAACGACGCATTTCATACCATCAGCAGCTGAGTCTACATAGGTGTCCGCCTTTGCAGCAATGTCGGCAAAGTATGTACCACATCCAAAGAACCGACCGGAGCGCTCTCCAGATCGGGAAGGGTCAAAGCCCTCACTGAGAATCCCATCAATACTCCGTTTTCTGCAACCGTGATAGAGCAGGAGCTCATGCAGACCAATGTCTAAATCACAAGACAAATCTGGCCGCAGCGCACAGCAATCCTGCAAGTCAGGTTGAAAGGTCCCTCGATGTTCGAACATCTTCATTCGTCGGTCACGATATTTCGTCTCAGCGTCTGAAATCAAGACCCGCTCTATGCGAACAACGCGCAGTGCCTTTTGCACCGCACGCTCGCCGCTGCCGAAGCGATCTCGGGATGGAACAGCGCCTGTCCTTACCAAGTGTTCGCTCAGCCGGCGGAACTCGCTGCTGCTTTCTGCAAGCGTCCTCAGCATACCTCCATGGCATGCAACCGCTTCTAAGTTCAGCTCGTGGCCAGTTACATATCCCAGCCCGAAACTGTTGCATGTCGGATGCCGGTAAAGCTCTTGTCAGACTTTGTCGTACAGATGTCGCATGAGAGCAAACCTGGACAAAAGTACCTGCTGCTTCTGCCTTTTCGTTGCGGCTTGGGAAGCTGCATCCCGATCGACTCGTGAACCAGTCACTCTTGCGATGCACGCCTGAGTTGCAGGCTGCGTGTCGGCCAGCGGCTGCCACTTGGACATCCCACGCCTTCGGGCACAGCGGCGACATCGACATGGATCTGCGCCACATGCTAAGCAACCTGGCCTTTGCATGGTGCTCGAGAACGCTTTTCAAGAAGTTGTGCATCATCTAACAGGGCAGCCGTTGTCGAAACTGTCGAAACCGCTCGAGGACGCTTCGCCACTAGCCTGCAGGTCGAACTTCAGGTTGGGTTCCTCAAACGCTCGTCGCATCAGCGCCTCGTGGTGATCGTCTTTTGACCCAGAGGCAAACTGCTGGAGGCAGGCGCAGCGGGAGAATGCGGAGACGGTGAAAAGCTCTTGTGATGATTCAGACCATCTCAGTTCTTCTGCCTGGAGGAGACTGGCGATCAGCCTGGCTCAATTTCGGCTCTTTTTCCTGCCGTGAGTCACACCTCCACACCATCCAAGACCTGCACGGCAACATGTTTATCATGGACAGTGCGTGAGTTCAAGGACAGCGCACGTAGATTCAAGACCTGCAGGCAAGGAAAGTCGGTCCTTGCCCATGAGTTTGGGAGAAGCAGTCCGCCAGCAATGCGTGCCTCAGGGCAGACTACCTCCTTAACTACAACTACGATCTTTTGGCAACTGTTCTAGATATCATGCAAGCCACATTTGCCGTCGCAGTGAACAGCCTCACCCCATTCATCTTTTACGCCTGAGGTGTCAGAGGCTTAGGTTTTCGGCGAAGGGCGTCCACTTGGATTCGTGTTTGATCAGATGCTGCCTTGCGTTCGTGACATGTGACTCGATCTGAGGGCTGCAGATTGCATGCAGGAGCTTCTTCACAAAAGCTGCGATTGGGCTTCTGGCGTTCCGCAGGATCTGTAAGAAGACAGTTGTGAGTCCTCTGGTTCAAGTCTCGTGAAGTGTGCGCATGCGTTTCTGGACATCCCCTTGTATTTTGGCCAAGGAGCAGGTCCAGTGCCTGCCAGGTCTCTGCAGCATTCTGCAGCTCTGACCGTCGCTGGGTCACCGGAGTTCACAGATGCTACTACTCCTACTACAGTCACTTGAACTTTTCCCAACAAAAGATCGGGAACCGATAAAGACCCGGGCCCGAGAGCTCGCCTGCGGCTCCCTGAGCAACAACTCTTTGAAGGCGGCCGGCGATCGCCACTGCTCCGGTGCCACCTCGAGCGCGGCACTGCGCGGCATCCCGAAGTCTGATCAAGGTGCTGTCGACGAGGGGTCTTTTGCCAAAGAGCTACCCGCCGCAAGTCCAAACACGTCTGAGAGTCTAAGATGGTGAGCAGAAACGCGCACTTCCGCGGGCCGCCAGGCCTGCAGCGCCGATTCGTAGGAAGATCTTGGCTCCTGTGCCGACAGGCGAAACTGAAAGCAGTCAGAGCCGAGGCTTGTGCCCGGCAGGAAAACGGACCGAAAGCTGCCGGAAGCTACATCATCTTCTGCACTGCGACCTTCAAGTACACCAAGGGCTTGATCGCCAGGGCGTTGCGGAGCTGCCTCCATCTACTGAAGGAAACAGTGGCCCTGCTTGGTATTTGCGTGGAGTGCTTTGGCCGAGGGGCTCTGCTGTCAGCTGCAGGGGGCCTTGTCTGAGCCAGCTTAGCCTCAGCACAATGCAACAGTCTGATGCCTAGCGGAGACTCCAACTGTGAGTTGTGAGGGGCACGTGCCGTCCTTTGTGTTCGACAAAGACGAAAAGCAGGCCTAAGAACATTGCTAGAATCCGAAAGGATTGCGAGCGCATCTGTGCAAGACATTTGCGTAGCACATACAAGAAAGGCTATCTGGATCGACAGATGCAGCATGTTTCGGTCCGACTGCAACTTAGCTTGTGCAGTTCTATTGAGATCTCTTTGTTTCGAGTACCACTGAGGGCAGGCTTTGTCTGGCGTTGACAAGCCCTGAACCCTGAAAAGCTGTCTCTGAGGTCTCTTGGCAGCGAAGGGAATAGGAATCTCGGGTGGGGCATCCGGCTAGCCGTCGCCGGTGTCGACGGATCCGCGTTTATGGCCACCCTGGTCTTCCTCCACTTGGCCTCGAAGCATTTCGAAGCCTCTGAGACACCAGCGCTTCGAAGATCTGGTCTGGAGCCTCGGCACAGGCGAACCCACGGAGATGTTCGAAGAAAAAAGCACTTGGGCTCTGACCGGAGGGAGCTTCGGCTTCAAGTAGCTAGGCCTCAAGAAGAACAAAACGAAAAACGAAACAAAGCAAGCCAATGCACAAGCAGTCCCCGCGCCATTCCCTCCCCCGTTGAGCCCTTTCGCTGGCCTGTTGAGCTCGTACCACCCGGTCCAACCGAAGGCCTCAACAACACCCCCCTGAACTCTTCAAGGCAATGGAGGGCTTGCACACAGCACGGCGAAGCCTTGGCAAGGATCAGTTCGGCGTCCTCCTGGCCTTGGCTGTGTGGCTGTCAAGGTGCCTTCCATATCGTAAAACACGAGGGGCCCCACCGTTCCGCAAGACACTTCTGTCCCACTTCGGATGCACGGAGTTAATCCCACTCGAACTGCCATTCAGCTGGACGGCTCGCATCCAGGTTTTGCGCTAGCGCGCTCGCACCATCCTGTCTGCAAAGTGGTTTGATGGCATGCCTTCCAGAAACCGACTGATTGGACCACAAGCCTGCCAGATCTCTTCACCGCCGCGTTCGGCAACACCTCTTCCAAAAACGCACGAAGCGGTGAGAACGGTGGATGGGGAATTCATGGCAAAGAGTCGAATGCTACACGCCTATAGCCTTCAAACGGCGCCTTCCCGAACGGCAGCCAACAAGGCTGCTTTGTCTACCGACCTTCTCTGGACGGCTATACACAAGCTGCTTCGGGTGGACAGCTGAATTTGAATTGCAAACGACACCATAGAGGCCTAGCTGGTGCGAGAGTAGGACTGGTCTCAAGATGCAGGGCTTCGGCGAATCCAAGCGCAGACCGCTACACTGGCAAAGGCAGCGGCCCAGCGCCGTAGGAGACTGCCGCCAGTCCCAAGACTGGCCCAGGGAGGGTGCATCCAAACAACTCTCGTGCACTCGAAGTATGGCGCGCGGGCACCACAAGCGAAGAACAAACTCAACAAGGCCAGAGCAGTTCTCGGACATGAGCACAAGCCGCTAGTACAATCAAACCGTTAAAAACCTGTTTAGCTTCATCGAGACTTCACATGTCGATCAAGAATCGGCTCAGCAGCTTATATATGAGCATGTGTGAAGTCAACGAGTCTCGTTACCCACATTTGTCTTCGAGTACATTTGCATGCTTGCGATGCGGGACAATGGTGGATGCTCTCTTGATACTTGCGGTTGAAAAGGGCCCAAGCGAGGGACGTGCACCATGCACATCATCCGGAGCCTGAAGGGCACCATCCGACGTCGAAAGTGGCAACGCACGCGATGTGCTATTGAAAAGCACTCTTGAGCCTCCCCAGACCACGCCAGGAGTCCGAAATGCATCACGAGTTCAGGGGGTGTCGAACCAAAAATGTGCACGGCACTGCAGGAGCACGATTTGTCGAGGCAGAAACGCATGGGACTGTCGCTTGCATTTGCTTGCCAAAGTCTTTTGAGTGGCAGCAAGTGATTACCGCCCACTGGATCGAAGCAGTGTTTCCCTGGTGCTCTCCGGGAACGCCGTGCGTGGTGCGCGCATCTCTCAGGGAATCATTTGCGATCATCTTCATCAGAGTAGTCTTAAGCATGTTCACCATCACCACCAAGCATGATCACTTGAAGCCCAGCACCCTAAAGGCCCACCCCAAACCCGAAAGCTTTAACCCCCAAACCCCGCAAAACAAAGCGCGAACCCCCATAGAACTACTCCGCCGTTGACGAAGCAGCCGGCAACCATCATTTCAGAAAGCTTGTTCGCTCCTCCCCGGGCTCCGGCCCGGATTCCTTCCCTCGACGTCAGCATCCTCATCCTTATCCTCTTCGATGGCAAGTGCCGCTGCTGGACATGCTCGCCCCCGGACACACCATGCAGACTGAGATATTACTTTATGGTCATTTTCGTCGCTTCGACTTTGATTCATGCTTTGGGATGTAAAAGAAGAGTGGCTGATGATGATCATGATTCTGGTTATCAGGATGAAAAACTGAATGGCTTGAGCTGCGTTGTCTAGTTTGCATCCGTCCGCGGACTCATGGCTTTGAAAAGCAGTTGGAAAGATCAAGTTGTCGATCGCCTGCGGTTGGGAGGGTGCGAACACTTGCGGGTCTCGCTTTTTGTTCCGGGCTTCCGGGATGCAACTAACTGCGCAGAAGTACTTCGCAGGAACCCACACCAAACTGCTGCATCCTGGCAGCTCACCTCGTAGGCGTTGGATGTCGGAGGTTGGCCTACCAAGTGAAGCAGTAACTCTTGAGCCCGCAGCACTATCAAGTTCCGCACCTTTCTCCCGCAAACACGAAACCACAAAGCGGATGCCTTGACAAGCGCTGCAAAGACTGCTTCTGCTCAACCAGGGGCTGTGGCCGTGCAGCACAGGCAGGAATAAAGCGGAGCACGCAACTGATGTTTTCTAGGACACCAGCCAAGCCAGCAAAGTAGACATCACCACTGCCACTACCGCGACCACCACCAACACAACCTCATCTCCGAAATCTTCAAAACACAGTGTCGGAACAAATACGTGAATGAGTGTCTCCGCGGCACAGCAGTCATTGTGCGATATTTTTTCCGACGGCTACAAGAAGGCAGTCGACACAAGAGTGCGCTCGCTCTGCCCAAGATGACCAGTTGTCAACTTGCTCAAAA